TGACTCATCTCGTTGGAGTCTTATTTTTAGTTCAGATAGTAGAATATCTAAGTAGTCCGGACAAAAACATATCATGGATATAAACCATCTACTACGTTTGTTACCGAGCGTAACAATGTAGTTTATGTCTACTTTCTCAGGGGGCGCATCAGGACATGCATCTGCTATGGGTCTGCTGTGTCTTTCCAGAGGAATGGAAAAAGTTCCTTGTTTTTTTCATCCCTAAACAAGGGGAAAATTTCGCCCCATTTCCTTAGCCTCATGCTTATGTAAAGTTTTCGAGAGAATGATCGCTAACAGACTGAGTTGGGGTTTTTTGAATATAATCTCCTTCTCAAGTCACAATTTGATTTCAGACGCAGCAGAGGATGTATTGATAACCTAACTATTTTGCAATCCAACATCTTATTATCTTTTCAAACAAATAAAACATTATTAGCCTCCTTTTTAGACATTAATGGTGCCTACGATAATGTACTACCGGACATCCTCTTTCAAAAATTAATAAAGTGGGGTTTACCACCGAATATTCTCGCCTTCATTGGGAGTTCCATCTACCAAAGACAGGTACATTGCACATATGAGGATATAGATGAGATACTATGGGCATTCAAAAGCCTCCCTCAGGGTAGCGTCTTGAGCCCCCTTCTTTATAATATTTATGTATCGGAACTTGAAAATAGCTGTGATTCGGGCTGCCAAATAATCCAATACGCAGACGACATTGCGCTTTTCTTTTCATCGGATGACTTAAATCGCAGCAAAAGCATTCTTGAAAAATCTGTGAATAAAGTCTCGGACTCTTTATTACACCTTGGTTTAGAACTCTCGATAGAAAAAATCAAGTTATGTAAATTTATCAAATGTCGTGCTTCCGGGGATAGGTCAGTTCTCTCTATTAAGATTAAAAATACCACAATTTATGAGACATCGAAGATTTGTTTTTTAGGTTTATTTCTTTCTTCTAATTTAAACTGGCAACACCAAATATCTCACATTTGGAAAATGTATCAATGCCCTTTAACAATTCTTAGCTCTCAGACACACGTTGTGGAGAGCAGATCCCCGCTTGTTGAGAATTATCTACATTGCTCTTATTAGATCTAGACTAGACTACGGTAGTTTTATATTACATGGTATAACAAAAACTCAAAAAAATCAAATTAGATCGTATACAATTTAAAGCTGTGAAAATTGTATTAGAACTCAGTCTACCCCATTCAATTTCATATTAGCAGAATCTAAAGAACCTCTCTAACTCTCAGAGCTGATTTTTTATGTAAAAATTGGATGTCTAGGGTTATTTCTCAATCGGATTATCTAATCCTACCCATTTTAACAGAATTTCAGAAAATTAAAGAAGACCCTATTATTATTGATAAATTTACTTCGTCTATCATTCTAAACAATTTTTCAAAACTGTCATCTATCTCTCACTTAATTAAATCAGATTCAAGACCGTTATGCTACACCAAACCGTATGAATCCATCATTTTCTAACCCTGTGTCAACCTATATAACGGGAATTAACTTTGATAAATCTGCAAAAAATAACGAATCATTATTTAGGGAACTCTTTCAAAATAAAATTAATAATTTCTTTTGCATTTTTACAGATGGTTCGAAAACTTGGATTTCACTGGATTTTCAATAATCTCGCTAGATCACTCCTTTAAATTTAAATTTAGAACGACTTCTCATGCTTCTATCTTTTCCTTAGAAGCAATAGCAATTTTCGAATCCATCATTTAAGCTGCTAAGCTCCACCTTACCAGCATAACAATTTTCTCTGATTCTAAATCAGTCTTTTCGGCTTTACAAAATATTAGCTTTAGCAACAAAACCTCCCATCTAATTTACGAAATTAGACATCGAATGAAATTATTCTCAGATAATAATGGATCTGCCAATCTAATTTGGATGTGGCCCAGCCACAGTGACATCAAAGGAAATAAAGCTGCGGACACACTTGCCAAAATGGCTCCGAAATTGGGAATAGATTATCAATTTTGCACTTCTACGGGAGATTTCAAATCTGTTTGGAATACAGAACAATTTGATTTATTCATCGAATTCTGTAGGTCGTCGGGAAATGAGAGAGCTTCCTAGTACATGAAAAATTGTCTATCGTATACTAGATCTTCCTTGTTCCATCCCTATAATATTTCTCGCAGGGGAATAACTTTGATTTGTAGGATGAGATGTGGCTACACCTTTCTTAATGAGAGCCTCTTTAGATTTTTAATAGTCGCGTCGCCCAACTGTTCAATATGTGATACTCCAGAAACTCTTGATCATGTTATCTGGAAGTGTACACAATTTAATTCTCAAAGAACACAACTAATTAATCGTTTAATAAGCTCTATAAATACTCTACCTTTTCCAGCCAAGTCTCTGTTGGAATGTCTAAAAGATGAAAACATTGTGTTAGCACTCGATCACTTTGTGAATGCTATTGGATATAATATCTGAACTTATTGAACTGAACTATATTATTCTATGTATCTCTTGTGTATGTATGTGTATGGGTATGCGTGTGAATATATATATAATTGTGTTTGCGTGTGTATACATGTGCATATGGGTGTATATATGTACACTCCGCGACAACGATTCGTTCCGTGGTCCCTCTCGCGGGGCAAGGAGAGCGTAGCCTCTAACCAATCAGCCACTGCCACGCTGCCAGCTGATTGGTCACTTCTACGCTCCCCTTGCCCCGCGAGAGAGGAGCCACGGAACGAATCGTTGTCGCGGAGTGTACATATATATAGATTATATTTAATAATATATAATAAGCTTTTTATACATACTTCGCTAAGTATTTCATTAGGTTACAAGCCTTTTGGATATGTTACACATAATATTTACAGTACCTATATTACGCATTATAATTTATTAAGAAATAGAAAGACTGATATGTCTATAATATATATTTCTAAGTAATATATTTAATAATAGAATTAGGCTGTATAAATTTTGTTTACAACTTCAATAATTATAAAATGTATAACTAATAATTGTGATATTTACAAGAATAATCTAAATATTTATTTAAATATTTACTGTATAGTCCTCTGCGTCGGGACTAATAATATACTCACAAATGACTCTTTTAATACAAAGTCATTTTATTTAATTAATAATGTCTACATATCAAACATATTTCCCAGTGTATTTTACTGTATTTTACTGTATCTCGTTTTTTTCTTTTTTTACTTTTAGTTCACATTTGAGTCCGAACTATACTTATAAAAGGTTTGTTTTTTATTTCTGCACTGGCTGCACTAGTTCAAAAAGTGTACACTAAAGCGTTCGTTATTCCAGAACTGGTGTAACCATTGAAATATATACCATACTGGAAGGCGCACAGGCTACCCCCTCCATTCGTCAAAACGGTCAGACAAGGCAGTGACTCGGTACCGGATTTCTCTTTCTATCTCGTCTACTCTCTTAGCTGAAAACATTCGCCTTGCGCACACATATATACATATAAGACAATTTATACATACATGTTATATATTAACAATTTTTATTAAACAATATACATTGTTTTTATTAAATAATTTTATAATGTAAAAATAAATTTTAACATATAAATTTTATAATTATCCAACAATTTCATTTTAAAGCATAAAATTTTCTTTTTATGAAGGCGAATGTTTGTAGAACTAATAGTAGCTGTGAACACGTGACCGAGACTGTTGGTTAGATAGAGAAATCCGGGTCCGAACAGCTATCTCCATCTGACCGGTCGAGAACAAAGGCGTGCTCATTCCAGTATGGTATATATTTCAATGGGTGTAACCGATACCGTTCGTTATTCCAGTGCAGGAAAACTTAGTGCACGAGTTCACTGAACTGGCTGCACTAGGTCCGGAGGTAATGCAAGCAGTGTAGAGCAACCAAGGAGGTGTTTTTTATTCCTGTACTGAATATAGCCGGCAATTTCAAAATTTAAAGGTTAATGTAAGTATAAAAGTAGAAGTTTTTTTGGATCAAAAAAATTTTACAAAATTTATATTTCAATATATATATATATATATATATATATATATATATATATATATAATGTTCACAATTTATATAGTAAAAATCGTTACCAGTTGAGTAAAATATAAAATTTGTAAGGTTAGAAAATCTTAATCTGTGAAATCTAATAGTAATTTTAATAATTTTATTCTAATAGTAATTTTAATAATTTTATTTGAAACATATGTATATATAATATTTACAGTAAAAAACAATATGGCAAATACAGAAACAGCAAGAATAAAAAAAGATGCTATAGGAAATATTTTAATGGATCAAACTGGACACGTAACATGCATTTCTGAAGGTATTAGAATTATCTAATATTTATTAAAGCAGACACAGTAAATATTTGATAAAATTATGTTATTAATGTGACGCGCCATATTTTTGCACTGCTTTACACTAGTTTACACTGTATCGTTTTCTACTCCCGTCTGCACTCTCAGTTCTCGCTTGCACTAGCTCAGTTCTAGTGCAGAACTAGTTCAGTTCAGTGTAGGAATAAAAAACAAACCTATAGTTACTACATTACCTCCGATAGATAACTTATAACCAGTGTAATATCTTTACTCGTTAAGATGAATGTCTATATAGTCTGTGCTGTATGGCTTTGTGCCAATGCCTGCTTTTCCTCAATAAAAAAAAGCGTCTATTGAAGCGAGATGGCTGCTCTCAGGTTTCTTTTGATTGAAGAGGCATTGTCAAAAAGTTTTAGATCCATATTCTGAATCCTCTATTATCGATAAAAGTGCTTTTAAAAGGCTGCGACGCCGTTGCTCGTCTCGGGAACGCCGATCCCGAGGAGGTAGCGTGTAAGTTTGGCGGTTAAGGTGCAATTTCATTGACGCTAGAAACCAGCGGCAAATTAAAATCACTAGACTTTCTCTAGATTCGACGTCAATAAAATAAAGTTCAGACAGTTTCAACTTTTTCAGCGTGTCGCAAAATTCAAGTGTAGTAATGTGTTAGGGTGCCGTCACATGAGGCGTAACCTGCGTAAAGCGTAATCTGCGTATTCTAGTGTTATCTAGTAATTTAATAAAAGTTACGCCATTCTGAAAGTCGGCATTCACATAGAGCGTATTGCGCGGAACGCGTAACTAATACAACCAATCGAAGATTAGAGTTTCCGATGTATGCTCTAATAGAAATGCTAAATATGATTTGTGATTGGTTTTGGTAACCTACGCGTTACAAAAAGTGCGCTTCATGGGGAACCAATACTTTTGGTTCCGTAAAATGCGCATGTTTAATAAAAACCGGCAAGATAAACGTAAAAGACGAATGCGTAGTAGTCGATGCAGGACAGCTTTGCATTTAGCAGCATTTTTAAGGTAATAATATATTTCTAATAATCAAAATATTAAATTTAATCTCCTTAAGGCTCCATAAGAAGAAAGATTAATGCAGATGTCCTTTTTGTCCTTTCTTTAATGTTTAAAAAGATAAACTATGTTGAAAGAGATGTTTGTTCCAACTTGTAATTTAATTACTTCTGCATTGATCTGTAATATTAGTTTTATGTATATACCGATGTTTTTTTTACAAATGTTATCTATAATATAACTTGCTTTTTTATAAGCAGTCTTCGGCAAGTTTTAAGAAGCCAAGGTCAAGTTCTGCTAGAAGTATAGATACGAACATCAAGGAGGACAGCGAGAAAAGTACGTATAGCAAGTACGTAAGTAATAATGGATCCTGACATAGTATTATTAATTATATGGAAACGATGGCGAAAATGGAAGAAGATGAAGCAAACACTTCAACATCGGAAAGTTGGGAAACGCCATATATTAAAACTGTTTGCAATATAGAAATTGATGATTGAAGAGGGAAAAGCTCATGATAGAATGTGGGTGCGCCCGATATTTAGAGAAAGACAAAGATTTTTACAAGGTGCCAGTGACAATCTGGTCAGAGAAATGGAATTTGAAGATCACGAAATGTTTTATAATTATTGTCGAATCTCCACAGAGATGTTCCATCAGTTGTTGAGTATTGTTGGGCCATTCATTGAAAAGCAGTATGTCATTCGAGATCCAATATCAAGCCGTACACGGCTTTTGGTATGTTTACGGTATTTAGCGTCTGGGGACAGTATGGCTTCAATAGCCTATTCTTTTCGGATTGGAGTAAACACTGTCTCAAAAATTATTTCTGAGACATGTGAGGAATTGTGGAATACTCTCCACAAATCAGTTTTCCCTGAAATAAAGGAAGAGAATTGGCTGAGAATTGCGAATGATTTTGCAATAAAGTGGAATTTTCCGCATTGCATAGGTGCGATAGATGGGAAGCACGTAATAATACAGGTAAATCGATTTTAAATATACTTATATTTATATTTACTTTATTGTATTTATATTTACTTTAAGAGATGAAAATGGTCATTTTCTATTTCAGTCACCTCCTCATAGTGGCTCAATTTTCTATAATTATAAGGAGAATCATAGCATTAATTTATTAGCGGTTTGTGATGCCAATTACTGTTTTACATTAGTTGACATTGGTGGAGAAGGCAGACAGAGCGACGGTGGCATCTTCACGCATTCAAACTTTGGTCAGCGATTCCAAAAAAATCAAATAAATTTGCCACAACCGAGACCAATTGAAGCTTCCGGCCCAGCATTACCGTTCGTATTAGTAGCGGATGAGGCATTCGCTTTGACTCATTACATGATGCAACCGTATCCACGAAGTGGACGTCTAAATCGTCAAAGAAAAATCTTTAATTACCGTCTTAGTCGAGCACGAAGAATGATCGAAAGTGTGTTTGGCATTTTGGCAGCGAAATGGCGAATTTATCGTCGACCGATAATCGCATCTGTCTCCACCGCAGTTAAAATTGTTCAAGCGACTGTATGCTTGCATAATTTCGTGATTCACAATGAAAACAAATTGCCACTCTCCGAAAGACGTTATTGTCGTATTCTCAGTGAAGGGGGAGTTATGACAAGCGGTGCATTGCAAGAAATGAACAATGCTAACAGAACTAACGCTTATACCCGACTTGCCTCTAGAATTCGAGATGACTTTGCTACATATTTCGAAAACAACGGGGCAGTACCCTGGCAGTGGGAAAAAGTTCTGCTCAACGATTTTTAAAAAGATAGTTGTATTTATATTAACAATAAAGATAAATAGATATTTTTTATGTTTTATTTTCATAAGATATTGATACATTTGTATTAAGTTGCAACTCCACTACCATCTATATATACAGTTAATAACTGAATAATAGTAACGTTTCTTCTACGTACGGGATTTTAAACCTAAATTAACCGAGCTATCATTCTCAAAAGTTCTTAGATTATTACATAGATCACAATATCGTTTTACATTGTTTGCAATTTTCATTCATCTTCTTGCGCATGCACACGTATGTACACATTATATTACATTTAAGTATCCAACTTTTTTATCAATATAAGCGTAATGTGTGTAAATAAACTTATTCATATTTAACTTCAAAATAAAAAATCTAACAAGAACTTTCTTAATAATACGATAAATGTAGACTTAGAACTACGGATGGATCATTCCAGAAAAGAATATCGAGAGATACGAAACGTGTCAAGAGTCACTGTATTCAGCTTAGCAAAATAAAAATAAAAATAAAAACCTTTTAATTAATAACGCGTTGATGGATAAAGATCTTCTATTTCAGCGAGCAACGTCAAAAATCGTATTTCCAGGTGAGCTCTGTCGCGATATGGCAACCTTCGCATGCCTTCTCCCAACCGTGCTAAAAACCCATCTAACGGATCAACAGTTTGCGTTGTTGGCTCTTTTAAAGCTTCTATTAAAGCTGTTTGCAGGACATCAGTCTTTTGCTCTGAAACGTAAATAATATACATTTTATTAAAATTTATTATATTTATTATATTATTTATTTATTTTTTTAATTTATTAAAATTTTAATATTAAAATTAAATTATTATTAATCTTTTCATTGTTAATAAACTATTTTATTCTAAACTAAAACGGGTTTCATCGAAATAGTTGTCAACAGTTTGCAACGGTCCTGAAAACAAGGCAACAATGTTATTGTAGCGATACATATTTCGATACGTGTAGTTAATATCATCAAGGGACACAGAAGAAAATATACTAACTTTTCGCATTTGTGGCCGGTATTCGCGAAGTCGTACTAAATGGCGTTTGTGGAGAGACGTTTCTGGGTGTTGAGGTCCTTGGAGGAACGAGAGTTGGTGTAGGCGTTCGTAGAGGAACACAAGTGGAAGTCAGTATCGGTGGAGAAGCATCAATGGTAGTCTGCGTTAAAGGAGAATTATTGGTGAATCCCAAAGCACTGTTACTATCATCCTCGTGTGACTCTAATGTTCCATATTTTTCACTTTCATCAATGTCTGGCAATGAGCTCACAGTCTTGAAATAAATATATATTTATATATACATATAGCATCCTATGTGAGTGTATTGAACATGAAAAATTGTCTTCTATATCTATTTTCCTTTACAAATTGACAAAAAAAAAGTGAAACATTTTTGCACATTAAAGAGAAAGAACTTACTGCCGTGTCTCAAGAAAGTTGTTCAAAAATGTCATAAGGTCGTAAAATCTGAACTTGGACTTCTTTTGTCCACTAGCAGTATTGGCTGCCGATCCACTGGGAATGTAGCCTTTAACCTTTTTGCGAGCTTTTGCATAATTATCTCTCAAATATTTCCAGCGGGCCTTAGCCTCCTCTGGATTAAAAGCCCCTAAAAATTTAATTTCATTATTTAATTATAATGTATAAAATACATATATATTCACAAAAGATATTAATAGTATCTCCTAGAGTGTTAGACACTTCTGCCCACAATGCATTTTTACGCAAATTGGTTCTTTCATTAACAGGTATACGATAGTCGTAAAGTCCCTTTCTTGCCTTCACTGCTTCAATCAAGAGTTCATCCAAAGAATCTGCACACACAGGACCTTCCGCAGTCTTTGTATTCTCTTGGATTATTAAGCAAAGAAATACATTCAATTATTATGATAAAATAAAATGATACAATAAAATATATATGCAAAGAATACAAGAATGCAGTAAACATACTGTCATAACATATTGTCACAACAAAATTTTCATCTACACATATGCGATCCTTATTCTCCACATAATGCTTGAAACATTCATGCTCGAAAAAATTAGTAGTGAAATTAAACAGCCATCCACAATACCCACATTTGTACTGAAAAGATTAAGCATGCAATGTAAAAAAACAATGCATTAAGATGTTCATATTGCTTAAAATTCTCAAATTCATGCATTTAAAACAAGAAAATAAATATACGTTAAATATTGGAGAAAGAGAAAACAGATTTCAAATGCAAAAAGTGCGAAGACCTACTTATATACAATTGTAAATTTTGTCACATGCCGTGAGCAGTGGATCGGTTATTATAATCGAACGCTTTAAGTTTTATATAATAAATTCGATATTTGTTAACTTACCCTGTTTTGATTATTCTTGTTCATCTTTATTTATTTATACTTAGAAACGCTGATATATATGGATTAATAATAATTAACAAACGCCGCACAATTATTAAATACGCATATATCAGCGTTTCTTCCGCCAGAAATTGGATTCGGCGTAATGATAATAGCATAAAGAACGTAAAATAACTAAGCGGAAGCTGATACTTAAATGAAACGATGTGATTGGTCGGCACAAGTTACGCAAGTTACGCCGCATGTGACGGCAACCTTATTTTGGGTCTGTTCTTTTTAGCTGCACTGTTACACTAGTGCAATTAGTTAGAGTGAAAGAAAGTATGTTTGTCTCGCATGTTTTGCCGCCACTTCTCCCTCCATTAAGACAAGCGGCAAATTTAGTCACTAGATCCCCATTTGCCGTTGGTTTCTAGCGTCAATGAAAAGGCCGCTTTACGGTAATCAACGGTATTAGTATCTCAAGCACATACGGTATCGTACGGTATCTGGTAGATCTCCTAAAAGGAGCTTGAATATGGGCGCCAGGCGCGGAAATACCGCGCCACGATATCAATACGGTAACGGTAATGTCCGGTAGTTCAGCTCAGTATATGGCAGAGAGGCAGGGTTCTTGTGATTATATAGAGAGAGAACACGCTACCCAGATAGCACAAAGGTGAACATAAGTTCATAGGGAAATCATTTTAAAGAATACTTGTAGAATTAGAAAAATGAATATCTGAAGAATTCTTGAAGAATTATTCATAATCAGTTCGTCTTGAAATATTCTTTATAAATTCATTTTAATGAATACTTTGCGACAGTACTATGAATACTTTGAGAATTTATAAGGAATTACTTATTATTTTTCCACGCATGCGCGAGACTGTGTGTGTTTGGTTCGGACTTTATCTTGTAATTTCGTGCAGTGTGCAGTGTGCTACATATATGTATTTTGCAATAAAGTGGTAATATATTTATAATGTAGTAATATATTTATATATATTATATCAGACAAAAGTACAGTGCCACGCATAATTATATTAATAATTGGGTGTTATTGAATGGTAAGTATTAGTTGAACTAAATATATTCCTACTACCTAACCTCGAAATAAACGCATACAGTCTTTATTTTTGTTGTTTATTCATTCAGTAAACAAGCTGTTTTAGTTGGTCTAGTTTGCCAACAGAGTCAATCAAAATTTCTATTTATTGATAAATTTGGATAAATATTTGTCTGCATGTAGTTCATGTTCTTTCAACAGGCAATTTCTGATTATATGAATACAAACTTCTATTATATATTCATATATTACTTTTATATATTACTTTTATATAGAATGTCTTATTCCTTTAGTCTTTCTAATGTATAATATATTGTTATATAATTTCATACATATATTTTACAGATTTATCAAAGTCATTCACGTATCACAATACAAGTTTTAGACGAAACTGAAGAATAACCAACTACTATAGAAAATAAAAGTAAGTTGTATTTATATGCATTAATTAAATTACAGCGTTTAATATAAGTTGTTTATTATATTACATATATAACTAAATCGAAAGGAATTAGGCTCGATATATATTAAATAACATGATAAGAAAATTAGCGTCTACGAGCCACAGCGGATGGTAAATGCCTGAAAAATTCTTTTTAATTGTACGCGAAATTTTAAACGAAAAACACGGCATATGCATATATTTTACTTGGTGCATTTAACCAAGATATAGATTCTCACTTTTGAGAAATTCTATAAAACCCTCTTTACCCCCCCCCCCCCTGAAGAGACGTAGACGAGAAAAATATCGGGGCGAAGTCGCTGAATCGGGAATCGAACCCGAGTCTTTCGCTTGCCGGGCGACTGCTCTTACCACTGAGCTATTCAGCCCCACACCGATACTACCCTCGTCTATTTGTTTATAACTATGGAAAATGAAACGCGATCATTTCAGCTAGCGCGTGAATTAAACTAAATCGAAAGGAATTAGGCTCGTTATATATTAAATAACATGATAAGAAAACTAGCGTCTACGAGCCACAGCGGATGGTAAATGCCTGAAAAATTCTTTTTAATTGTACGCGAAATTTTAAACGAAAAACACGGCATATGCATATATTTTACTTGGTGCATTTAACCAAGATATAGATTCTCATTTTTGAGAAATTCTATAAAACCCTCTACTATATTACATATATATTTACTTTTTTTAATTATATATGCATATAAAAATATAATATATATTGTATGCACATACATTTAATTTTAAATAAAAAGTTATATTAAAAAAAAGTTAAAATATTAATAATATTGTGTATTAATTTTTCCTACAAAATTCCTTATGTTTGAAAAAATATACTAAATCTAAAAAAATAATTGATTCAATATTTATAAGAAAATATTTATTTAAATTAAGAAAATATTTATTTAAATAATTGATTTCAATATTTGCAAGAAAATATTTATTTATATTAAGCAAAAATATATTTGAATCAGCAAAATATACATGTATATTTTAATGATTCAAATATATTTTGGCTTAATATAAATAAATATTTTCTTGCAAATATGGAAATCAATTATTTTTTTAGATTTAATATATTCTTTTAGTGTTCCAAATACTATTCCCATTGAATTCATAAAGTTTACATTTATAAGTTTCATTTTTGGAAATAGAAAAATACTATATGAATACTATATGAATACTATATGAATACTATATGAATACTATATTCATCATATCAAAATCATATCAAAAATACTATATGAATATTATATGAATACTATATGAATACTTTAAGAAGTTCTCAAGAATTCA